TTTCTGGTAACAAGAGCAGCCCATTAATTTTGTCTGCCTCTTCTATCATTTCAGCCAAAGACATTAAAAAATACACCCTATGTGGATTCCTTCCATGTTGCCAATGCAACAAGCTGCTCTCAAGCTACTAAAATAATTACATTAGAAAAATAATCTGGGTTTTACATCAGAGAACACTTTGACAGAAGTCAATTAAAGATAATTAATCTTAGAAGACTGAAGAAAATACTTATTCTTACAACCACATTTATTACAGTGCATACAAATGTTTAATTTTAGGGTCAATATAGTGGAGTATATTGTGTTTTCAATGACACATCTGCAGCCAAGCAACTTTATCTATATAATTTAAGCTAAAAATTCACTGTGATTTATTATATCCTGTATTATGTCTTGTTCAAAAACAAATAACCCCTCCAGTAATGATTAAATAAAAACAGGTCAAAAATTGTGCAGAGGAAGTGAACAAGGCCATATGAAAGGGTTAGGATCAAGGGGGGATGTGGAAGGCTGTGTGCCATTAAGTACTGGTCACCCATCAGACAGAGCCCCCTCCTCATCGTAACTGCTTGCTCCCCCTGTGAAGGTTCTGGTCAGCAGGAGGAGCGGATAGGACTGTGTCCTGGGGCTGCATATATGGGACCACAGTGAACAACTGGTGTCAGGAGGGGGCTTTGTCTGGCAAGGAAAGTGACCCAGGGACTGAGTTTGAGGGGAGCAAAAGTTTGCATCCCATGAGTGCCAGCCCTTCTGCCAGAAAAAGCCCATGTCTAAAACTAGCACCTCAGTACAGATCTGTCTACTTCCCCTGCCTAGAAAGGGAACCAGTATTCATGAAGTGAAGTCTTCTGTTTTCTGCAGACCACACTGAAGTCTGATTGGGACTGTGCAACGGCACAGACAGTCCCCCATTTGAGTGATAATGGGTAAAACCATGAACACTGCTTTTTTTTTCCAAGACCCAGGAGGGTTTTGGTTTTTTTTTTTTTAGGAAAAAAATCAATACATTTTAAAAATGATGGGCTATAAGTATGCATAGGAAAAATGCAAGGCCCTTGTCCAGCAAAATATTTGAATAGCTGCTTAACTTTTAGTAAATGAGTGGTCCTATTGGAGCCATTGGGATGCCCCACATACTTAATGTTAAACACAAGCTTGACTGGATGGGGAAAAAACTTCTCTCCCACCCTCCTTATGTATTTCGTTGCTCACACAGAGATATGAAAGAGTATGTCTGTTTTCATGGATCACTTAATCCGTAGATTCTTTGCTGAAAAGTTGGGTTGGGATCAATCATCCTTTTACAAATAAAGAGTTTTCTATAACACAGTGGAATTGCAGGTTATCTACTACAGAATCTTCACTTAGCTTCTTGTATGAACAGCTAGGTGTTTTGTTTTTAATCTGCAAGGGAAAAGTTAAACCATGCCATGCTTTTTCTTAATATTTTAAACTTGTGTAACAGATATGATCTTTCTGAAGTGCATTTTTTCCATAATCTGGTTCTGCTATTTCATTATTTTAGTGGTCAGCAAACATGCTTCTAACTCTGTTTGCAATGCAAAAAAAAAAAAAAAAAAAGCAGCTTCAGACTTTGCCAACAATTTGAGAGTAGCCTCTAAGTCAATGAAAACCACTGAGGTAACTAGAAACCACCTGCAACTCACCTAGAAGGTTCAGACATGCCTGATGATAGTTGAAAAGGTAAAAGATTTAGTGTAGGATTTAAAAGGCTTAGAGGAGGAAAAGTTTTGCTATTATATAGTTAGAATCACCATGTTCTACTTAGCCAACTGTGAATAGCAGAGATAACGTATTGGATTTGAAATCCTGAAGTTTTGTACAAAGTAGGAAAAATCCTGGTTTGAGTATGGCATCCACATTAGCAAAGTAAAGAGAAAGCTGACAAGCCAAACTGATCCCAGATGCAATTCTGATGAAATCACTATAGATAAAGGCTGTGTCTAGACTGGCAAGTTTTTCCGCACTTGCTTTTGCGGAAAATCTTGCCAGCTGTCTACACTGGCTGCTTGAATTTCCGCAAGAACACTGACGATCTCATGTAAGAAATCAGTGTTTCTTGCACAAATTCTATGCTGCTCCCATTCGGACAAAAGTCCTTTTGCACAAAAGGGCCAGTGTAGACAGCTCAGATTTGTTTTGCGCAAAAAAGCCCCGATCACAAAAATGGCGATCGGGGCTTTTTTGTGCAAAAGCGCGTCTAGATTGTCACGGACGCTTTTCCGCAAAACGTGCTTTTGCGGAAAAGCATCCATGCCAATCTAGACGCTCTTTTCCGCAAATGCTTTTAACGGAAAACTTTTCCGTTAAAAGAATTTGCGGAAAATCATGCCAGTCTAGATGTAGCCAAGGTGTAATTCTGATCCAGTTTTTTTGAAAAGTGCCCTGCCTCCAATAGTTTCTTAGATTGCTTAGTTTGAGATTATTTCCAGCAAAGTTTGAAGTTCACTTCATTGAGTTAAAGGTCTTCCTGATCCTGCAAGTATTTATTTATGGGAATAAGTTATGTGAATAGTCCCATTGAAATTAATACAAAACCTTGTGTCAGTGAAGTTATATGCATGCATGCATGAAGTATTGGGACCTTAGATTCTAAACATACAATGCAGGAAACAGGACAATCAGGACTACATACATGGATTGTTAGAATAGTGATAGCTTTTATCAACTTCACTGTCCCTTCAAACAGCTATTTTCACAAAAATATAAATAGCTTTGATGTTTGATACAGCATAAGTTACAGAAAAACCCAAATAGAGACTATCTGAAATGTTTTTTCTTCCATAAATACTGCTCATCATTATGGAATATGTAATCAAATATCTGTTGGAGACTGTATAAAATCTGATCTAAGTCAATAGTGACCACAATTTATTTTCTTATATCAACAGCTATTTAGTTGTGACATGAATTAGCAGACTCAATCCTAGTGTATAGAGATTACAATTAACAATCACCCACTTGGCCTTCTCCACAATCAAGCCAAGCAGTGCACAGGCACGGAGACTAGATGTCAAATTCTATACATGAGCCCTCCAGACTCATGTGTCTGAAATCATAACACTGAGTTGGAATTGTCATATTCAAAGAATATGCCTATACCACTTAGACTGCCAGGTACAAGAAGTAGACTGTTATTCTCTATGCCAGGGGTTCACAAACTTTTTGATACTGGGGACCAGTATCCATTCACGAACTTTTGGAGGACCGGTAACATTTATTTGCATATTTGCATATTCATTAAGCAAATGATAAACATCCAAATAAATTGTTTATGGTCCTCCCAAAGCCCCCGGTGCCAACTTAAGCCCACAGAAAAGTCAGTTACGGCCATACAAGTGAGATACAAAAACACAACCCCTCAAAACCCCTCAAACCTCACTAATGTGGCCCCAGCTGTGCTTGTGGGTGCTGGGACAGAGTTCTGGGGAAGGGTGCCAATGAGTGCTGGGGCAAGGGACAGGGTGCTTGTGGGTGCTGAGGCAGGGTACTTGTGTGGGTCGGGGGGGGAGGGGATAGGGACTGATACCTGGGGATCCTGTAGCTGCCAAGGCCCAGGAAGTATGCGGGCTGCTCCCCCATCCCCTGAACAGTGGCGTGGTACCTGACACACTGGTCCATTGCACGCCTGCTGCCTTCCTGCACAGGGGGAGCGGGAGTCCTGGACCGCGCCAACCCCAACCACTCGGGCAGCACGCACCTTGCTTCTCCGCTCCCCACAACAGCGCATGCCACTCAAGCAGCTGAAGCTGGTGCAGTCCCGGATCCCTACCCACTCCCCTGCGTGCAGGAAGGCAGCAGGGGAGCACAGTCCCCAGCGCATGATGGACTGGCATTTTAGGTACTGCTCCGGCTGTTGTGGTGGGGAGAAAGCAGCCTGGTGTGCAGCTGAAGAACTGCCCTTAACCCTGCAGGAAGCCCGCATTACCTCTGTTAACACTGGGAGTTCAGCGTGACATTCATCTTGGGGGTTGTAGGCAGTGAGGTGGGCTCTCGCAAAAATTTTTCTGAGGCCCAGTATTTTTTTTCCTAAGGACCGGTACTGGGCCACAGACCACAATTTGGGAAATGCTGTTCTATGTAGTTCAGGCCGTAGGGTACATCTAAACTACATCCCTTTTTCAATAAAGGGATGTAACTTAGACGTATCGAAATTGTAAATGAAGTTGGGATTTGAATTTCCCGCCCTTCGTTTACATAATGGTAGCTGCAGCTATAGCTTTTTTTTTGAAAAGACGCTTTTCAGAAAAAAAACGTGGTCAAGATGGGGATCGTTCAACAGAAATATCCCTTTTTGAAAGATCCTGTAACCCTCATTTTGACCATCTTGACCACTTTTTTTAAAAAAAAGCGGCTTTTCGAGAAAAAGCCGTGGCCACCATTATGTAAATGAAGCATGGGAAATTCAAATTCCAGTTTCATTTACATTTTATCGAAAATGGGATGTAGTTTAGATGTACCCTTAGAGAGGAATGCCAGTGGGAGAAAAAGGGATGTAGTTTTGATGTACCCTTAGAGAGGAATGCCAGTGGGTTTCACAGGTCTTTGCTAGGCAGCAGAAGACCTTTCATTTATGTCAGGAATACTCAGTTCCATTCCAGCATACTGTGCTTTATGAACTTCCCAATCATTGCCCCTCAACTAGCCCTCTTCTATCCTTTTCAATTTTTTCCTGCTCCCATCAATCCTGTCCCTCCACTTCTATCCTTTCCCTGTTCCCAGGCACCTAAGTTTGTCTCTATCTCTCTCAATTACATTTGCAAACTTCAAGTGGAATGGTGAGGTGACTTATCCAGCCAAAACCTCACCCAGCCCTCAATATGTATGTCATGCAAACTGAAGCACGTATTCTAATTAGGAACACAATAACTAACAAAAACGTATTATAGTTGCCAATTTTGACTGTAGAAAAACATAATTATTTGTGAAAGTGAGGAACAAATTAAAAACCTAAGGAAGAGAGTTCATTTAATACTTACTGGGTCAATCAATTCTGGTAAGCTGGCTTGGTAGGTAAGTGGCCTACAGTCACGAGTGTTATTCACTAAGACACAAGGGAGAAACATTGGTCCAAGATCATCTCCATCGAGCACATCAACAGTGAGGGTAGTTGTGCTTGTTCTTCGTTCATTAAGATTTTGAGCCCGGTCCTGTGGCAGGAAAAGATATTTCTATGAATGCGATTTAGAGAACTCAGAACATGGTCCACACAAAAATGCTTCTTTAGCTTAAAGTTAAAATTGATCAAAAACTTAAACTACCAAAACAATCAAGAGAAATCTGGGAAATTTCTAATTACACTCTTGTCATCTGAAGAAGTGGGCTGATACCATCTACATGTTTTGTTAGGCTTTAAAGTGGTAAGAGACTATTTGTTGTTTTTTAAGTTTTTCCTCTTACAGACTAACTCGGCTACCCTTCTGAAGCTTATTAACTTTGATGTCACCTCCATGCTTCCTATCTTCACAACCATATACAACCATATGCTTATTAAGAAGACCACAATACCACATTCTTTTCCAATATCAAATCTGGTATAAGTTAGGCCTCAAAAGAGTTGTGTGTTGTTTTTAAAAAGATTAAATCAGAATTTTAGTTTTGTCTTATGATTGTTTACTTAACTCCTTTATTTTCATTGTGTATAAGACATATACAAATCTGACAGTTCTTACAAAGTCATAGTAAGGAGATTTTGTCTCTCACTATGGCTATGTATACACTGCGGAGCTATTTCAGGATATCAGAAGTATCCTAAAATAGCTAGTCTGCGTCTTTTGAGCGTGCCTGTTATTTTGAAATATAACGGGGTCGCTATCTGACATCCCTGTAAACCTTATCCCATGAGGGGTAAGGTATGTTTTGGAATAGCACTTTATTCCAATAAGTGGAATAAGACAGCACCAAATTTTGAAACAAGCTATTTCAAAATTACCTCAAAATAATCTATGCAGTTTGCTTCTAACTCCTAAACTGGTGCATGGATTTACTTGTAACCTTACATGAAGTCAGATCTTTGGAGAATACATCCATCAAAACATATTTCCCGTCAAATACAGGTTGGACCTCTTTGGTCTGACACTGTTGGGATCTGACTGGTTCTGAACAAGGGAATTTGCTGTACCTGGAGTGGTCCCCTGTTACTGATCCCCTTAGCCCACCATTCCTCCCTCACTCCTGGCCCCAGCCACTACTCCCTCCCATCAAGATGGAGTACTGCTGTAGCAGCCCAAGCTGCCTTGTCCCTGGCCCAGGTACACTGTGGTTCTGGTCCCACTACTGGGGCTGCTGTGTCCCCCACCCCACTACTAGGGTTGCCACGTCCCTGGCCCACTACTGTTACCGGGGTTGCCACAACCCTGGCCATGGTACTGGGGCTCTAAGTCCCAGCCCTAGCCCCAGCCCCACTGCTATCAAGCTCTGCCAGGCTCTCAGCCACCAGCCCTCTTGCCACTGGGCTCCCAGCCAGGACTCTCTAGTCCAGGAACATGCTAAATGTTAGCAGACCAGAGAGTCCCACTTTTGGGAGGTCCAACCTGTAACTTCTTCCTTTCAGTTTCTCTTACCCCCTTTGACAAATATTTCCTCTGTATTCCTCACAAAAAATTCTAATCTTGTTTACTTGCTGCTATATTGAACACTCTTAAACTAATGGGCCCAGATGCCAAGCACTAAATACACCAATGTGTACAGAGGGATACCTTAGTGATATGACCATTACATAATACTTGTCATAGGACTTCATCCAGTAATTTCTAAATCAAGTCCATAACTTCAGTTTGAGCTATAGAGTATTTTCTTAAGAATAACCCTGCTGCAGATGGGCCTGAGGAAATCTGCAAAAAAGTTAAAATGCCCTCCCTAACTAAACTATCACAATCACACACATGAACAGGCAGACAAATATAACTATGTTCAATGAGCAAAGCATCTAAACTGAAAACTAAGTACAGCCTGACACATGATTGAAGGTTCCTTCTGCTCTCTTTATCAGTGGCAAGGAACAGAAGCACTTGGAATGGGGGTGTTGTAGTGGTTTAAATAATGTAAGGCCTCTTCTGTAAAAATCTATACAAAGGCATTCATGCACCCCTACCCCAAAAGGGATTCTGGTTTGATAGGAGACTCTACATGGTCACTGCCAGGTGATGCAATCCCACAATCAGGAATGCACAAAAGTCCTCAATTTTCCTTTTGTATTCTCATACACTAATCATCATTATAATCAATACTAGCAGCAACCTTTTTGCTTTTATGTAGCACCTGTCACAATTTATGCCTATGCACATACAAATATATCACTTTAAGAGAATGCTATTTTCGTTACAAATTCCAAACTTACATGCTAAGAAATGATAGATTTATATGGTGTAATACATTGAGATTTATAGCAGTCTATGCATACTGTCTTGTGCACTCATCTAGTGCACTGAATGGAGCAGACAGGGAGTGGAAATAATAGTAATTAAAGACAGTATCATACTGTGTAAGCACAATGAGAGGAAGGGCAATGATAAACTTTTTTCATAGTTAACTTTGCATCCCCAATGAGAGAAAGGGCAATGATAAATTTGCCATTTCTTAACTTTTTTCATAGTTAACTTTGCATCCTACATAACATTCTTTTAACTTCACTTTTTGTATATAAATTACTTTTTCTTTATTAAAACCTACATTTTAACTTCACTTTTTGTATATAAATTACTTTTTCTTTATTAAAAACTACTGGAAAAAAGCAAATACTGTTCTGTGTAGCTGTAACAACTTCACCATGTATGATAAGCAAGGTTTGAATTCTCACCCTTCGGCAATACAGATTACTAAAACATAGGCAACATAACTATCTATGGGTGTGTCTAAACTACAGGGTTGTTGTTTTTTTCGAAAAAAGTGGCCTTTTTTTGAAAAAAATCCCCGGCATCTAGACTGCTGCCACGTTCTTTAGAAAGTAAATCAAAAGAACGTGGCAGTTTTTTTTATTGCGAAAAACCTAATTTATGAAGAATAACGTCTTTTTTAAGAAAGTGCTCTGTCAAAAAAAGGTGCTACTGAACGCGAACTGTACTTTTCGAAAGAGAGCATCTAGACTGCCTGGGTGCTCTCTTTCAAAAAAGCGGCTCGCTTTTTTGAAATGACTGGCTGTAGTCTAGACGCTCTCTTTCGAAAGAGGCTTGTAGTCTAGACATACCCTTTATGAGGCAGCAGCAGCAGCAGAAGTTTATTATCCCAAAGCTCAGATAGACTACTGGGACCAGGTCCTGGTTGTCAGTGATGGAGGAGCCCCACCCAGTCAAGCTCACTCTCTCTGTCTTTCAACTACAAGAGCTGAGAGGAGCTCTTGCCTCATCTGGTGTCCCTAAAGTGGAAGAATGAACCATCAAAACCAGATGCTGGGGAGAGTAAGCCCTGGCCGCCTTCCTCCTCCCAAACCTGCTGCAAGTTCGAACCAGATGCTGGGGGAGAGTAAGCCCTGGCTGTCTTCCTCCTCCCAAACCTGCTGCAAGTTCCAGTCCTAAGTGAAGTCCCCAGAGGTGAGGTGGGGGTAGGATAATGGAATATGGTGCTGGATATGGGAGAGAGCAAAGACCATCGTGGTCCCCTTTGCAATTTCTGAGGCCATAAATCTGTTCTTATCTGGTTTACTACAAAAATCTCTGATATATTGCAAAGGTGAAGGTGAAGTTGCAAGTAGATTCTGTCCTTTCTGTGTACAATGTTAACAAGGCAGTACAAATGCAAATGGATATTTTCAGGAGCAAATGCTTCTGAAACTATTTGAGAAGATCAACCACATCATCATTTCTGTGGAACTAATAATGCTGCACAGGAATGCAATGGACTTCTTTCATCCACTTATTGGAAATACAAATTTTACTGTAAAAAGAAGAGGAAAAAACTTCCATTGCCTTCAAGGACACCTAAAGCTCTCTCCCAATGACAACTATATTAGATACAGTTTAAATGTCATTTTTATTTTCATCACACAGTATCCACTGCTAGTCATACCGTAAAAAACACTTAACACACATACAGTGTGAATTGAAAGAAAAATTGCCTCATTTTAGAAGGCTGCATTTCAAAGCTCATGGATGCAGTTAAATTGTATCCATTAAACCCATTTCAAATCAAATTATACTAGCTAGATGTGTCAGAAAACAAACTCTCGGTGACACGAGAATGTACTTTCAACATGCGCTATACTAAAATACATAATCTATTCCTCATGCCAAAATAATGTCTTTTTTTCACAACATGAATGTTTTTGTTCTAACTTGTATTATGCCAAACTGTTAAAACATAACAAGCACGAAATAGATATTAGGCAACATTTCAACACTGGTGACTTAAGAAAAAGAGCACCTCACTCCTAGCATATAAAAAGACTTCTCCACCTCCATTCCTTACCCCGGAGAGGATCTAGAACAGTGGTAGGGAGCCTTTTTTGGGTTGGGGCTGCTGACCTACAAAAAAATCAGTCAGGGGCAGCACACAAGTGAGAAAGAAAAAAGAAAAAACAAACAAACCTTCACTGACGTTGCCCCTGACTGAGGAGGAGAAAGACACTCCCCACTTTTCCTTTGCACACCAGAGCCTGGAAGTCCAGGCTACTAGATTTTGTGTGCTCCAAGCCCACAGTGGGAAAGCAGGGGATATGGAGTGCCAGAGCGGGTTACCCAATGCTGGCGGGGTAGGAGGAGGGAGCCCCAAGCCTCAGGGGCCGGATCCAGGTAAGTCAGGGACCACATCTAGCCCCCGGACCTTACGTTCCCCACTTCTGATCTAGAGGGAATAGATGGCAGAAATAACAATTTTGGAATCTGTACTTACGTTTGCTTGAACAATAACAAAGTAACGTGTCTTTTCTTCATAATTAAGTCTCTCCCGTAAAACTACCGCTCCAGACAAAGTGAGAGGAATGTCAAAGGTCCTATTGGATGTCTGTAAAAGCCAAAACAATAAAAATAAGAATCCATATCCTGCATTTTAGTTTAAATAATGCAGACAAGTTAGAATGAATACATATATTGTATGCAATTAAGGACATTTTAGGGTGTTGTCCTAATTCATGACCTTGAGTTCTTTACACACTTTTATTTGAACAAATTTCAGGTGAACCCGATAATAAAGATTCTGTAGGTGACTTGACATCACAAGCATTTTCATGTATTATTATTTTCATTCATAAAATGTCATGGGAAACTTGCAAGCAGAGACTCAGGAACACAGGTCATTTACAAGCCTTGCATCAGTGATGGACACTGCAAATAAGGGAATTCATTACAACTTTTTCGGTTTATCAATACATTGTAATGTTCCTTGATTTGTTCCTGTTGGCCCTTCCTATATTCAGGGAACATTACCTGTTGCTGAGAAAGTACTTTCAAGTAGAAGAGAATTAAAAAATTTAAAAGAAGTATCGCCTCATTGACTTTAAAGCCAGAAGGGACTATCATGATCACTTAGCCTGACCTCCTACATATTGCAGGCCACAGAACCTTACCCACCCACTCATGTAATAGACCTGTAAACTCTAGCTGAGTTACTGATGTTCTCAAATTATGTGTTAAAAATCTTAAATTACAGAAATTATAGTATTTGCTCTAGTGTGAACCAGCAAATGACCCATGCCACAAAGGATAAGGAAAAAAACCCTCTCAAATCCTTTTTGTTCACAACTCCTCACCCCGCCCCACATTTTTACTTTTTTTTGGGAGGGGGGATGCAAAAGTTAAAAAGTAAGAAGAGTAGACACCCCTAACCATTTAGGCACCAGTTCAGCAAAGCATCTATGTCCACGCTTAAATCCAACAGAGTCTTTTGCTGGATAGGGACAGAATTATTCATATGATTTGATATAAGCACATTCTTACATGTTTTGAGAAAGCAGTGCCTTATTTATTTTTCATCTAATTTAATCAAAGATTACATTCTATTTCTAGTATATCTCCACATGCTTAAATAGACTGATTTCATTTTACAGTACTGAAACTACCAAGTTGTGTAAGTCTCAAACAGATTTATTTTGAAGGCCCATTTTGAGAGAAGATAATCCAGAAATTGAAAGGTAGGATATAGAAACAACTGATCGAGACCATATTCTCAGTTCTGAAAGCGACTGACAAATACTGAGACTCCTTCTGCTCGTCAGTTTCTCCATCTGTACAGTGGAGGTATTTATTTTACAGGTATATTTTGGAAACAATATTTATGAAACACTTTAAGACCCATCAATGAAAGACTTTGTAGAAGAACAAAGTATTTTCTTTTCCTAAACAGACTATTTTTGCAAGCTTTTTTTCCTTATGTTGAATAATTCAGGATTGAAAATGTTTGTATAAATTGTGACTGATTTTTCAGTAAACAAGTCGTATACACTACAAGTAGGCCAGATTACAGATAGCAGCTGTTTGCAGTTCTGTGTACTCTGAATTTGACAGTTACGTCTTTTGTACAAAAATAAGCACAATCAACAATGGAAGAGACACAGTGCAGAAATTCTACTGAAATGCAAACACTTTGTATGGAAGCAGAAGAGAAAATAAAGTATAACCAGTGAGATAGCAAGAGCAAAGAGGAATAATTTAAAATTTTCCTGAAGGCGAGAAGAACTTGAAAATGGTAAAACTGTCATAGAAAGTTAATTTCAGTCTTAGCAACCCCAGCAATGTCTTTTCAGGTTGAAGGCAGGTATGGATTTTGAATGAAGCAAGCTTATTTTTTTGCTTCAGGTGTTTCAGTGTAAAAAACCCACTTTAAGTTAAAAACTATCATGACTATGGGTTCTTTACCCAGTACTAAGAAATATGTACTTATTATGAAAACCCATCAACACCAGCTTAAACTACTGCATTTTTAAAAACACAAAGCAATCACAATTACTGTATGATACCACTTTGTGAATGACTGCTTTAGAATTTAATGCCTTCAAATAATAATGAAATGATTCCTGTGCAATAATATGTCATAATGCAATGCTATGTTTATTTTAAACAAATAAAATATTAATAGATAAAACATTCTAAATTGCAAGTATTAGAAACCACAATATATATATATATATCACACACATATACATATACACACAATCCAGCCAGAGTTCTTAGGCCCATTCATGTTCATGCATACTTTAAAAAAAGTAATACAAACTTAGCCAAAATATAACACTTGTGATGATGGGATGTGGTCACAGAAGACCACCTGCGGGGCTTCCCAGAGTGCTGATAAGGCCACTGACACCCTCCTTCCTGCTCTCTGGTGCTTCTCACTGCTCCATCCTGCTGGTTCAGCTCCCTTGTCTCCCCCAGCCAAGACACAGAGCTGAGATCATTGCCCCTCTCCCTTCCCCCAAGAAGCAGTGCAGACACTGAAACCCTCAGGTCCAAGGAAAATGCAGTTTTGGGCCCAGCTTCCCAGGATACCACTCCCTAAATGGGATCAGAATCCCGTATGAATTATTTAGGTAAGCCCCCTTTAAGAATAAAAGAGGGAATGTACACACTGATCCCCCCTCCTCCCACCTCCGGTAACAATTCTTTACACTGGTCTTGATAGAAAATAAAAGTGATTTTATTAAGTATAAGCAGTAGGATTTAAGTCGTAGTAAGTGAGCACAGTCAGAGCAAAGTAGAAAATTCAAACCAAAGTAACAGAAAATGCTTAGCTACTTCTACACTATAACCTTAGCACAGACTTATTACAAACTCACCCTGTTTCTTTTCCAGCTAAGGCTTCCAAACCAGGGCTCTTCTTTTGTTTCCTTCCCTGGGTTGCATCCTGCCAGCCTGAAGACAAAACCTGCTAGCTTCCTATTGTTTTTAAATATTCCCTTTGGGCGGGAATTCTGTTTTTACAATCCACCCTTCCAGCTGGGATGGACATGTAACTTCCTCAGCCCAACAACTGCTAAGACTTAAGTACAAAAGGCTATTTGCATATGATTGTCCAGACATTGCAAACGCCCTTGATGGCTTTCCATTTTCAGATTTAAAACCATGAAGCTTTCCATACTCCATGTCTAACTTTACACACAAGAATGAAATATACACCAAAATAAGATCCAGCATTTTAAGACATTAAGATCAATTGGTTATATGAAGCAATTTGTCAAAAGCACCCTTGAGTTATGTATATTTGTGTCCATAAATCCATTTAATAAAGCATGGGGGGGAGGGGTCCCATCACAACACTAATAAGATGGTGCAATATCATGTGAGGAGTCTGGTGGTAAAGATATTGGGTTATAGGTGGTTTGTTTGGGGGCACCTACTATCTCCATGGCCCTCTGGGTAAGGTGTGGGTGGGAGTGTGACGGGGTGAGCAGGCCCTGCACTGCCGGGCTGGGAGTAGCCCAGGCCCAGCTGGCTGAGCGGGCCCCACCCTTCCAGCCCGGCTGGGCATGTTCCCAGCAGAGCCAGTATGTAAAGACTGAGGGAGCATGGCAAGGGAGGAGGCAGCCTGAGAGTAGAAAGGCTCAGGCTGCAGCCCTGGTGTTCCTGTGGCAGCGGAAGCCAGAGTGGTAGGAAGCAGCCCAGGGCAAGGGCTTGCAAACCCCGCTTGGTGTGTGTCGGCTGGATTCCCCACCGAGCAGGCAGGAGCAAGAACCCCTGCCTACAGGGCCCTGGGCTGGGACCCAGTGGAGAGGGAGGGCCCGGGTCCCCCTACCACCCGTTGCTGCAACCGGAGCAAACATGCCAGCCAGGAGAGGCTTTTTCTGGAGCTAGACCGCAGAGACCGTATATGCCCAGATAGAGGGGCCTGGACTTGGTGCTAGTTCTGGGAGTACCATATATACCCTGAGAGAGGGGCTGAGACTTTTGGGACTTTGGGTACTGTATATGCCCTGAGAGAAGGGCCTGGACTGAGACACGGGCCAGGAGAAGGGGGCTGCAACCCCTGTCAGGGGTGTACCCCTTGACAGGAAGGTATGGCTCCCTGATCCCAGAAGGGGCCAGGCTTCAGGCAGAAGGGGTGTGGGCAGCCAGCCCTGACTGTTGCCCAGATGCACCAGGCCACACTGGCCCCCAGGCATCCGTCAGCACCACCCATAGCACGGTACACCTCTCCTCAGCCCTTAGTGCTGCCTGGGGCGCATGGCGTGGCAGTGATTCAAAGGGACCTGGGCAGTGGCCGTGACAGTGGCCAGGATTCCAGGCCCCTTTAAATCGCCAAGCTCTGGGGCAAGTGAAACCATTGCCCCCTGTTGGCAAGCCTGTGTGTGCTGCATAATGGTTTTCCTTCTGCTGAAAGGTGTGCATCTCCGGGATGAGGAGTGAAAGATATATCATGTCCAATGCCTTGATTCATCATTTTCTTGCTTTTTTGTGTTAGGTATACAGAGGAGCCTTAACATACATCCAACATATTGTTTACTGCACTAATACATATAAAGCACTTTAGTTAAATGAGTTTTGGTAAAATATTTTCTGTGAATTGACCCAGCACAGCTGCACAGCACAAATGTCCGGATAACTATTAGAAAATATTAGATTGGCCAGTATTTCTGCCATAGATAGGTGAGGTTCTGCTAACATTTGCTTCTGTGAAATGGAATTTTGTAAGGAAAGACCAATCAGAGTAGAAGTTGGAGTAGGACGAGTGCACAGAGGTGAAAGGTTGGATCAGGACTGTAATGTGTGTGGAGAGTGCAGTAGGGGAAAAAAAACACCAGATCCTTAGTAAATCAATGTCACTTCATGTAGTGAATGGCTTTACAACACTTCATACTAGTTGATAAGATGGTCCCCAAATGTAACAGACTATGCAGGGGAATGCTCAGAAATTGTGAAGATGGGTAGGCTGCCAGTGTGAATTGGCATCAACCATTGGTAGTTATGGAGTGAGAAAGGGGGGAAACCTGTTGTTGCTGATGGAGTTTGGAGAAAAGGAAACAAGAGAACTGCAAAATCTGGGAGGGATTTGCCAGTCAGAATGGAGCTAGG